CCCCCCCCCCCGCGAGAAATCCTCCAGACTAGCACCTTTTATACATGTGGTCAGCACAAAAGACATTTCCAAAGACTCTCTCCTATTTGCAGAGGTTCAAAAGGATGCACCACATTCAGACATACTGGAAACAAGAAGGGAACACAGAAATGGGCAACTTACACGAATTTTAATAACTCTCGTCTTTGCTCCACAGTTCTTCTTGAGCAGCATCTTCTGAAAGAGAAATAGAAGCCATGGATTAGTAACCAGGATGTTGGGCAAAGAGTCAACACAAACTGCCTGGAGTCACTTTACAGCTATATTCAATTATCTTCCATATGGAGAAAAGAAGTCATGTAAAATCAGACTGTAAGAATTGCCATATCAAAACAAACTACCTGCCACCCAGTTCAGTACCCTCCAGTCTAGTGGTCCATCTCAGATACAGTCTTTTGACAATGCCTAATGCCAAATGTTTGACAAGAATTTGCAAGAAACCCCATAAAGAAAACTTGTGGAAGAGTCTGCTCATAGCGAAAGTGTCTTCCTAATTCCAATCTATTAGTTGTTGCCTTATGCTCTGAAAAGGGAGTTTATATTTCTTTTACAAGAAAAGATAATCCTATTTAATGTAAGTATGGATTGTCCTAATATCCATATCTGTTTTTATCATATTTATCTATTTAGATTTATAGAACTGATTTAAAAAGCACCCATCCAAGGCTTTAGCTGCCTTTGCCATATATCAAAAAAGCCAGTGCACTGGTCATCATATGGAACCACACACCTTTGCAGAAGATGCCTTTTACAGAAAGCAACGATGGAGACAAAATAAATAGGCTTCCACATGACTCGAGTTCCAGCTCTATCTCTCTTGTCTATGAGGTAGCTCCAAGGCATTTGATGGTTGAATAACATTAGGATTAATCAAAACGGTTATGATGAAACCTTTTTTGGTTGGAAAATAGGGTTTTATCAAAAACAAATGCTTTCCTGAAAAACTAATTTCAATCATATTTTTCAATCAATCCCTTTTTTCCCCAAAATGAAAAATCTGGGGAGAAATCTTCAATATTTTTAGTTTGGAAAGAATGGATTTGTCCACTTTCTGATTATTTTCTACCACTTACTAGTTTGAAAAGTGTTACTGACTGTTGAAAATTGCCTTGTTAAATGATATCAATATGAAAAAAGTGGTGTTTTTCCCTCATTTTCTCACAAATATTTCACCCTTCCCTACTTTGTCCTGTAGAAAACAGGACCAAAACAGAGGAACCCCCCTGAAAACTATAAACACAATTATTTTATTTTGTAAAACTGAAACAAAACATTTGTTTTATTGTTTCTGAAAAAACAACAAATTCCCATGGGGAAAGCCCAATTTTTGACCAAACCTTTTTGAACATTTCTTTTTCTGACAAAAATTTTGCTGGGAAAAACCCCTCTTTTCAACCAGTTCTAAATAATGTATTGCAGGTAAACCCACCTTTGCAACATTAGTACAAACTCTCAAAACCTGAAAAGGGAAGACAAAAATCCCACCCATCACTGCCACAAACATCAGCCCATAGCTGTCAGAATCCAACTTTCCTCACCATATTAGTCCCCAGATACCTAGGAAAAGAGTTGCATCTTTATGTCTGTTCTGTAAATTAAAGAAATTCAGTCTATTCTGGACCCAGAAGAAGTGCATTTCAAAATTTCAGAGTGTGTCATGGAGGCACTGTGAGGCCTGATTAGTTAATATTCAAAAAGTACAATTAGCTGCTTGCTTGCATCCATCCCTAGTGGATCTTAACACCTCTTTTATTATTCATCAAAGAGCTTGATTGTAGCTCCATGTATTAGCTCCTGCCCCAGAAACCTGACTTGGAACCACAGACTGTGGCGCTACTGGAGTCCCAAGGTTCCCAACCTAAAGGGACTCCCGCAGGGTTTTGTACAAACTGGGTGGAAGCAAACAAAGAGAACTGCTGAACTAACCCTGTGCCGTCCAACTAAGCAAGCAATTCTCTGGGAATGCCTATAAAAAGCACAGAGCTCTATTCCCAGTGCTGCTGCAAGGGAGTTATTGTAAGGTTGGTATTTACTGTGAGGTTACTGCATTTTTTAAGACCCCCCCCCAAATGACTGTTCAGTAAGATGAAGTGTGGGGGCAGTGGGAACCGAGCGGGACTGAATATCCTTTTACAACCAGGCTGCATGGGTGCAGGGAATGGCAAAGTGAGGAGTCACGAGGTCTCCGAGCATTTCATTCCCACCACAAGCTTTTTTCATAAAACCACTGTGATCTCTCACACTGTATCTTCCCACTGGCTACGGGAGATTCTTCTGGATCCAAAAGTCTGCATGCTGTTTCGGTTCAATGGGACAAGCTGCAACAGGACAGAAATGGAGCGGTCTGAAGTTCAGCAGCTGGGAGCTAGGACTCCCAAGTCCTAATCCTAGCAGAGCATGCTCTTACGAAAGGATGCCTGGGTGCTGGTCTCAGCTGTATTACCAATTGTGTGATTGTGGGCAAGACGCTTGATTTCTCCATACTTCTATAAAATGGGGCCAATAATACACAGCTGTCTCCTCAGGAGAGAGACTGTGATGCTTGCAAAACACTCCGGGTTCGACAGCTGAAAGGAGCAAAGTGTTGTCAGGAAGCCCGGTCTGTTCTCAAAAGGCAGTTCTGAGCAGATTCTACTGGCTCAGGTGGTCCCGCTCATAAGTGCCCCGTCTTACTCCATCCAGGCACTTATGGGTATGCTGATGCCATAGTGGCAAGAGATCAGTCACACCACCAAGGAAACAAGTCCTACCCACCTGCTTCGGCTTCATGCACTACTACATCTCTGGACATGAGGGTCTGCGTGCATCCTGGGGATGACCCATGCCACTGCTCTTGAATGTGTCAGACCCCTGGGTCTAAAGTACAGTGCCAGGGATGCCCTGCAGAGCATGCTTACCACCTCATTGCTGGACACGCTGGGAGCAGGTGGGCAGTGTGACTGAGCACTGCCTCCACAGTGTAGACCCACCCTATCTAGAGACACTATTCCCACTAGCCAACTTCAAATCAGCACAGGGGATCCCTAAGACTCTGATGTTTGGCCTCCAAACAACACTGGGCACAGAAATGTCTGAGGAGAACTAAGACCTGTGCAGATACCTAACTACTTGAATAAGTGCCTTGAATAAGCAGCTGAATAAATATTGCATATTTTAATGAACTGACTTGAAAGTGGGTGTGGGTGGGTGGACGGACCCTACTGAATTGAATCAGGACTACTGAATTACAGTGTATGCCCTCTACTGTTCACAGACAATGGAGATTCTCTTTGTGGAAGTGGGAGGACTAACCATTCACAGTAAATCCCAGCGATTACCATGATGTTCCAACTAGCCACAGTGAAACAAGTACAGTGACAGCCTTGACGTTCTAGACAGCCATAAATTTGTCTCATCTGATCCTGAGCTCTCTGGTTTACTGCCAGTCGGACTTCCTTCAGGTACAGGAGTAAAATCTAGAGATGAAAGGACCTCAAGCAGGCCCCAAATCTCAGTAGAGACGGTTCTCTAAAATTGCCAGAATTCCCTGCTAAGCTTCTGCTGAGCATAAGGCAAGAGCAAGCACGTTGCAGTGTTTCATCTCTACTGTGAGATCCTGGTGGTGCAGAGGGCATGAAATGGCGGGGGGGAGGGAAGGGAAAGTTAACTTATCATTTTTACACCTTGAAAAAGGTTGGGCCCAATTATGTCAGCCAATTATATCACTAGCTGCATTGCTCCCAACAAGCTCCTATCCCCATCACTGCCAGGCAGGGTCCAACACCCTAGAACGGTAGAGCCATCATTTAAGAAACAACGTCCAGCATCTTTGCATGGTTTTACATCCCTCTAGTTCCCTTTTCCAGGATCAGTTCACTGCCGAGCCTGAGCACTGACTTTGAAATTAGGAAGCTAAAACATGCTGCTGCCTAGCAACAATGCAGGGAGTTTCCAAGGCAGACTGTTCTCATCCTGGCTCTCCAGAGCTTTCCATGTCTCAGCCCAGCTCTGAGAAGCAGCAACTCATTAATTCAAAGGCATATAGGTACAGACATGAACATTCATTTGGCTGTGTAACGCATAGTAACCTAAAGCCAGGGTAGCAAGCCCAACAAAGCCAGGGGAACAGGCCTAGCAAAAAGGAGGCACACCGAATTTAGCATCCATTGTGTTAGTCCTGCTATTAACCCTACCCAGGGAATATTCATTTCCTATGGTGTGTAAGTGGGGAAACTGAGGCACACCGAAAGGAGAAGTGACTTTTGTTCAATTATGGGGCATATCAGTGGCAGAGCTGGGATAAAATACAGCATCCTGGTTCTAAGGCCTACCTTTTGATGCAAGCCCATCCTTCTTCCGTTTGCGGAAAGGGAATGGAATAAAAAGTGGCACCAGTCCTAATCCCAGCCCCCTCATTTCAACTAGAAAATCCCTCCTGTTGGCTTCAAATTAGCTGTATGCTTTAGAACCAGAACTACAGTTACCAGCACGATAGAAAGTGCTGTGCATCATGCTGGTGGCTGCTGCTCCAAAGGAGGAAACAAAACAGTAGAAGGAAAGTTTCAAAAGTCTCTGAGGCCAGCTCTGAAGGTAAGACTGGGTCAGCCACCTGAGGGTTAAAATTTCCAAGCACAGCAGTATTAATTTAGTCTCAGAAATCCTCCCACCAACTCCACCTCCTACATGAGACCACTCTGTGCTCAAAGCCCAGCAACTCCCTCTATCCCGGACCGGGATTTAAAGGAAAATAGCAGCAATGCAATATAATCATTTAGAGCGGGACATATTTCCTTAATATAACACTGCAGCTGACCACTCCAGTGGTCAGCTACAGTTTTGTTATAGCACAGATATTCAAAATGTCATGTGGACAACAGAAGCACAATGCTCCACCTGCTGTTCTCACAGCATGAGCCTTTAAAGACCTGAGCTACTGGAGAAGTCCCAGTGAGGCAGCAGCTATAGCCGTAGACAGCCCACAAAACACAGCTAAACAGCTTTGACCTCCACAGAAGTCAATGGTATACATTTATTGCTACAGACATACATACCAGCTATAAGCTTGTCATTTCGCTACAAGCTAACCAACAAAAAATATGGACACCCCTAAATTAAGGTTCCCATGATAATTAGCATGAATGTTAAAATATAGTCGTTTGAAAACACATTTGTTTTTAAAAAGCAAGCTTGTAAAATGA